AAACATTGTCCAACTGATCACTGTCTCTGTCTCACTCTCTCTCTCTCTTTATAGTGATCTTTTGTTTTACTTGTGGAGGAACATGGTTTTTGGGGTATTTTACAGAGTGACTTCGGGATTTTTTTTATCAGGGATTTTTCAGTTTTCCAATAGGGAACACCAGAATTCCTGCTAGGACCCTGACTGCTCAGACCTGGCACCTTGGACCCAGCTGACTGTGGCTGACCTCCTGGCCAGTTGGGGCAGAACATCTTTTGGGCGATAGCTGCCCAGATGGCCGGGCAGGGGCATACACAGCATTAGTGCCACACAAGGGTCAACCCTGCAGCCACATCCCCATCCTGGTCTGGCAAGTGCGCAGCAGGTCACAGCCAGGCAGCAGCCCCGACTGCCAGACCTCTGCAGTGGGTAGAGGGTTCAGAGAACTCTCAGGACTGCTTCAGCAGTCCAGCTGGCACAAAGGGTAGTGTCCCCAGGTACCAATTGGCTGGGCCCCAGAAGCTCCTGAGGGCAAATAGCAGCTTTTTATTACTGTTGGGGGCAGCACAGGTACTGGTTCCAGGCTCTAGCTCCCCCTGGCTGCAGATCTGGGAGGAGCCAGGTAGGGTTATTTTGCCCCAAGTGGCATAATTTTCCCCACACCAAAGTGCATGTCCAGGCACATACGCTGCGGCAAAAAGCCCTGGCTCAAATTTGCACCGCTTCTATCTGAGCTGCTGCAAGCGCACGTGCTTGCATGTGTGGACGCGCCCTTACAGTCCTTAGGGCACATGTTCTCACATCACCTTTTGGAGACAGGGCTGTGATATTATCCCAACTGTATAAAGAGGGAACTGACATACAAAAGAGTCTAAGTGACCTTCCCAAGACCTATGGCAGAGCAGGTAAGCAGACTTGATTTCTGAAATCCTACATTAGCCTTCGGACCAGCAAAGCTTCCTTCCTCTCTGTAGCCTGGCCTTGCACTCATTCCCAAACTTCCTTTCCCTGAAGCTCTGGGAATGAGAAAGGGAAAATGCAATTCAGGCCTCTGAGGAATGGAAACGACCTATTCCTAGCACCTGCAGTGCTGCATCCCCAGAATACAGGATATCCCCTTGGTGCGGGGCAGGACCACTAACCCCCTCGGCCAATCAGTGGTGAGGGGCGGTGCTGCCTCCTCCTCCTCCTCAGCCAATCATCAGGCCCCCTTAGCCAGTCAGCATCAAGGGACGGGGCCACCACAAAAAGATGGATAAAATGGCACTGGCATTGACTTATTACTGACTGTTATGATAAAATATTTATTCTCCTTTATTTTGCACTTTTCATGATATTGAATGCAGACAGTAGCAATTTTGTTCGAGAGTATCAAACTAATAAAAGTAATTATTATAATTAATTTTTATTATAATATTTATTAATTTTCATACTATACCAAGAAAATAAAACCAACAAAAACAGTAAACTATAAACTAATAGGTAAAATACAATAGAAAGGCAAAACCATAGCATTACAAATAGATAACTGAACATACATACTGCTCAATTGAAATAATTGAGCAAACACACTGCTCAGGGACCTCACCTCCCTGCCATCAGCATTCAGCACAGACACTGGGCACCTGGGAACCTGCCCTGGCCACATTCTGGTCAGAGCCGGGCTCAGTGGGGTCGGTGAGCATTGGATGCCTGTGGCAGTGCAGCCAGCTGCCTGGTGGGACCTTCCCCTCTATCTCTAAGAGACAGACAGATTTGCCTTGATGAGCTGCCCCAGGAGCCTGGGGGCTCTTGTACTCAAAGCTGTCAATCCCCACTCAGCAGGACATCCCAAGGACTCACTGGGATGCTCTGTGGGTGCGAAGACGGTGACAAGAGCTTCCTCCCAATCCCACTGGTGTTCCAGGAGATACAAATGCAGTGCTCCACCCATCTGCTCTCAAAGCCATTATCTGGCACTGAGGCAGTGCAGGGGGGTGTATATACAGATCAACTGACAGCTCAGGTCCTGACAGCTCAGTTGCTCCCAGGGCCCAGGTCCACCTGCACACGCCCAGGCCAGGGTCAAGGAGCTCGGGCATGCAACAGTGCCTCGGCTCTCGCTGTGCCTACACATGCACTGCAGCCATGGCTCCTTGCACAGGCACGGAGTGACCAGCCCCTGGGATCCTGCACCTGCCTCCCTGCTCCTCCTGGCTGTACACTGCCCTATCTCTGGGTACAGCCAATAGAATCAGGAGGACAAATGACTGACATGAATTCCCACCAATGAACTTGTCCCAGGGACACCGGGTCTATAGGGAAACCCCGGGCCAAAACCAAAGGGGAAGAAACCCTGTACTTACCCCTTACAGGAGCCAGAGGGAGTAGAGGAGTGCACACCGGGAAATCGCCCGGGCAATTCATCAGCCATGCTTATATTCAGCTGGGGCCGGGTGACGTCAGCGAGAGACACCACCCGGCGGGAATAAAGGGCAGCCCTGGGGGCAAAGGTGGGGGGCAGAAGACCGGGAAGACCGCGGGGAAACCCAAGGGCGGGAGCGTGCACCCGCGGGGTCTGTCTGCCCGAGGCAGTGAGAGTTGCTGCCACTGCAGAGGCGGCGGGACCCGCAACTTCAAAGGAGCCGGCAGAGACACCGGGAAAAACGCTGGCAGAGAGGCCGGTGGAGGAACCGGCAGCGGAACCGGCGAGAGAGCCAGCAGAGAGGCCAGCGAAGGAACCGGCAGAGAAGACGGCGAGAGAGCCGGCAGAGAAGACAGCGAGAGAGCCGGTAGAGAAGACGGCGAGAGAGCCGGTAGAGAAGTCGGCGAGAGAGCTGGCAGAGAAACCAGTGAAGGAACCGGCAGAGGAGCCGGGGAAGGAGCTGGCCAGGTCAACAGGACCTCAAGGGAACTGGAGCAACGTCCCCAGAGGGTAGACTCCTAGGGGGCTCTGAGGCACTGGGCTGTCGCAGGGCCTTGGGCTAGGGCGCCATTTTCCTCAGGGCTTACACGCCTGGGGTTAGACCTCCCTGGCAAGGCACGGTGGTGGGGCTTTGTTTTTTTTCTCTCTCTCATTTTTACACGTGGTGGCATCACGGGGTCAGGGTAGGATAGGGGCTGCAGGTATCAAGGGCCTCTTAGCCCTCAGACTGGAGCCCAGCCCAGGCCGCCTGGTCCCGCTGAGCTGGGACTACAGGAAGGTCGAGGATAAAACCAAGGTGGGGCCAGTAAGAAAGGACGACCAGGAGACCCACGGCAGCAGGTGGCGTTTGGCCGGGGTGTAGGGGAGGTTGGAGCCCCGTGATTGCCCGCCGAAGGCGTGACACCCCTGGAGGCTGCTTCGAAGGAGACCCCCTCCACTGAGGATCCATTCAAAGTCATGGCAGGCGAGTTTAAGGGGTCTTCCGACGCCATCCGAAGCACCCTCCGGGGTCCTCTTGCACGCCCGGGGCAAACCCGATCAACTGCCTGGGCAAAAGCAGCTCAAGAACGCCTAGTGGAGCAGAGGCAGGCACAGAACTGAAAAACAGGACAGCAGTTCATTCCTCATTCAGAAACAGAGGACAAAGGATATAAAAACAGGACGGTCTGGTATAAAACAGGACCAATGGCCACCCTACAGCTAGACCATCCATTAAGCCCAGTTCTACTATGGGTTCCAAATGTAATAATGTTAATATGAGAAACGCCACACTGGGTCTGACCACAGGTCCATCCATCTCAGCCTCCTCACAGTAGCCATTAAGAGGACTAGCAGTTCCCAGTAAGCCTTGGCCCACTGCCACTGTACAAAAACGATATTATAGTGTGTAACTGTCACTACCCTCACTGAGCACTGACTAGATACTAACAGGGGAAAGTATTTATGTAGGGCCTACCCAAATGGATCCATGACCTGCCCTTTGCATGCACCCATGGCTTCTAGCATTCAGGGCTTCTGGAAATGTGAACCAAAGCCATACAATTGCTCAAGGACCTTTTGGCAGTGTTTCCCCCTTATAGTATCATCACGAGTGTCAAAATATTTAGTCTTTCTCTTAATCACCTATTGGGAGCAGGGGCTTTATGGAAGAATCTCGGCTTTTAATTAAGAGAAAGAAAGCTTCTAGCGCTCACAGTTGGGGAACACAACATGTAACTGTGATCCTGAATGACTACTGTATCTTCACGCATAAAAAAGGAGCTCCTCATCTGTTATATTTTTGAATTATCATGTGTTTTTAAGTCAATTTTATAATTTTAGAAGCCTAACTCTTACTTCCTAAATGACCAGAGTTAGTGGTAAAGGGTTTGGGAAAGCTTGATAAAGCTTCACAGTTCTCTGATTTTACTTAGATACACTGCAAAACATTTGAAAATAAAGAATTTTAAATGCACCCAAAGCACCAAAACATTTTTAATCGTTTTTTTTTTCCAGCCAAAGCTATTTCTGCAATTCAGTGCAGATGTGGGTTGTTATAACTGAGGTGAATATTCAATATTCTACAAAAGCTGTTTTGCCCAACTCCAGTCACCAGGATACTATTTTTGATGCTCTCTCGTGCTCTCTTTTGCTCTCCAGAACTGCTAGTCGACTCCAGATGTCTCTGGGCCTGGGAATATATGATGTCACAGAGGTGTGGCACTTGAGTACTTGATGGATTGGGATGGCAGACTCATTTTAACCAGCTGCTCCCAGATATCTGAATCACTTATAGCGCAGACCTTAGCACAGAGGAGAGAAGCAGTCCACTGCCACACTCTTGGAGATAAAGGGGCTTCAATGGGAATGTTGGTCCCCAAAGACAGGTAAGGAAACCTCAGGTCTATGCCAATTCTGGCTTTAGGTCTTGGGCAAAGCTAAGCAAAACCAAGCCACAAGTTTAAGCACGAGCTTTCCAACAGTCATTCACCTACCAGGAACCTCGTATCAGCACATTTGTGCTAAAAGCATACAGGAAGGAGTGTGAGGTTTACACCAAGGAAATGAAGACACTTCCATTCAGTTCTATAAAACCACGAGTACAGTTTTGGCAATCAGACTGAAGGAAAAGGAAAGAGAGTAAGTTGGAGAGGAAAGACAGCACAGAAAAACAAGGTAGCTGGACAGAAAAGAGACAAGAATGGTGAATTGGCTGCACAATGTTAATTGGTCCCTCCTGGTGACAACCCTGATCTTCCTGCCACTGCAGGGTGAGTAAAACAGGGTGCTAATATGGCAAAGTTCTCTGCTGGCACAGAGAAGAAAGGGGAGGAGTGGAGCTGGTTTCATCAACCCTCTTGAGAATGTCTTTATCTCTTGTAACCATTTTTTGTTACCCTCCTCTACGGTTTACATTGACTGGGTTGTATATTGCACTAGCTTGGAAGGTCCTTTCTTCTGGTCATGTGTAGAGAGCTTGGGCTGTTTCCCTACTCTATCACCAGCCCTCTGGTATCATAAAGGCAGTGTAGGCTCATTCTTGTGCCTTCTGTATTGTGGTACAGCACATTGCCGGCAATATTTTGAACTTCAGCCAACCCGCTGGAAAGGGTTAACCTGCCACAGCCTGACATGGAGCCCACTGGGCATAGCAAGGGATCTACTGATTTCTTGCCAGGCACTGTGGGTATGCCTAGAACACAGCTCCAGCACCAAGGGTATGCCAGGCCCTACACCCTTTAGCCAGAACTAGGTGAATCATGCCACACATAGCAATGAAAACACTGTCAATATAGAGTGCAAGCATTCCCTTGGGGCCTGTTCCAGCACCTTGGGTAGTCAGGGTGGGTCTTTTCATTGACCTCAGCCGGAGCTGGACCAAGTGCTAAGGCAGTATTTTCACTTGCGTTCTGTGAATGTTTGTTTGAAGGCAATATTGATGGAACAGAAAAATGTTGCAAATGCTTATGTGCTCCCTGTAGCCACTGAAATTAGCCTGAAAACCTGTTAACCCTTGGAGCCCACATTGCCAGCCAACAAATGCAAATGAACTCATATATATGAATATGTAACACACCTATATTTATTACTTTAATGCCAGAGGCAATGAGGGA